TCCTCCTCTCCACTAATAGTCAATGCATACATGGCTTTGAGAATAACATCAAAATCAAGAGCATAGATATCGATATCCTTCTTGAGGAGATCAGCCCACTGAGGGAGCTCAGGAGCGTCAGGAAACTGAGCACGCCAAGCGTCATCTAGGCGAGAGAAGCAGCGCTGCGCAGTGTGCGCCCTCCCGCACGTCTGTCCCTTGCGGCGACCAGTGCGGATGACGTACGTGCAGCTAAGGCTACCCCCCCCACCCCCGTGCTGTAAGTACCACTCACGAAGCTCCTGGGAGGACTGAGGGTGCTGCGTGCTCTGGCCAGTGCCAGAGCCTCCACGACCACCACCGCCGCCGCCACCACGACCACCACCGCCCCTGCCACCGCCACGTCCTCCGCCGCCACCACCACCGCCCCCAACCTAGCCACCGCCGCCGCCGCTGCCTCCACCACCCCCACCGCTGCCACTAGCCCCTCCAGCCCCGCCACCGCCCCCACCGCCGCCACCACCCCCACCACCGCCTCCCCCGCCATCACCCCCACCGCCCTTGCCTCCCCTGCCCCTGCCGCTGCGGCGCCCGCTGGGAGCGGACGCAGACCCGACCTGCTCAGCACCAAGGAGGTCGACAGCAGCAGCAGAGGCGACAGAGGGGAGCAGGGGGGAGGGGGAACACCCCTCGAAGAAAGGGGTGCGGGGGTCACCACGAGAGGCACCTACAGCTACAATACTCTTCTCAGCTGCAAGGAGTTCCTTCTCGAGGGTGGCAATGGTGAGCTCAGTGGGGCAGCGGGCTAGGAAGCTGTCCCTGACTGTACGCAGAGTGTCAGGGAGGCGGGTAACTAGGTGGTAGAGAGTGAGCCAGAGTGGGGGAGGGTTGGAGGCAAGAAACTCAGCAGGCATAGCGGCACGGAAGCGGGCCTCACTAGTGCGGAGGTGCGTGATGAGGTCAGCGACTGTCTGGAAGGCGGACAGGTCAGGGAACAGGTAGGGAAGCGAGAGACGGCCTAGCGCAGCAGAGGCTGGGGAGGAGTAGCGCGCAACTACAGCAGTGTACAGTGCCTGGGCAGTCCTGTGCTGGCCGAAGTGCTCGCGCTCATCTACAGGCAGGGAGTTGCGAATAGCGAAGCGAGCGTGGGCGTCACGAGTCTGCCACTGGGAGCGGGTAGTGGCGTCAGCATCAGTAGCAGGGGCAGCAGCTTTGCCTAGTGCATGATCGTACAGCGAGACATCCTCCCTGGCAGTGAGCTGGAGGAACAGGTGCAGATCATCGAGCCAGGTCTCAAACTTAATCGGGCGGCCCTCAGCATCGAACGAGAGAACTGTAGGGCTAGCCATAGCTGAAGTAGCAGCAGAAGTAGCAGTAGCAGTAGCAGTAGTAGTAGCAGTAGGAGCAGTTCAGTCCAGTACTGGCCCTGCTGCTCAGGTAAGGAGGGCGCAGCTCGGCTAGGACGGCGCGGCTCGGCTAGGGCGGCGCGGCTCGGCTAGGGCGGCGCGGCTCGGTCGGGTCGCGCGGTTCGGCTCGGGTCGCGCGGTTCAGCTGGGGTCGCGCTGCGCGGCTCGGTCGTAGAGGGGCGAGCGCGGGGGGGCCGTTCGAGGCGAGCGCGGGGGCCGTACGGGGCTAGTGCGGGGCCATTCGGGGGCCGTGAGAGGCTAGCGCGGGGCCTTAAGGGGCCGTGAGAGGCTAGCGCGGGGGCCGCAAGGGGCCGTTCGGGGCTAGCGCGGGGCCGTTCGGGGCCGTAGGAGGCTAGCGCGGGGGCCGCACGGGGCCGTTCGGGGCTAGCGCGGGGCCGTTTGGGGCCGTAGGAGGCTAGCGCGGGGCCGTAAGGGGCCGGGGGAGGCTAGCGCGGGGGCCGCACGGGGCCGTTCGGGGCTAGTGCGGGGTCGTAAGGGAGGGCCGTGAGAGGCCTTAAGGGGCGACGCGAGGGGCCGTGAGGGGCCTTAAAGGGCGACGCGAGGAACGAGGCGCACGAGGGCGCTAGGAAAAGGCGGAGCAGTAGGGCGCGGCTAGCGGAAACGGTGGGCCCTAACGTTTCGGTCCTAGGTGAAAACTAGGCTCGTGATACCAAGTCAGAATGAGAAACGAGAATGATGTGACTAACAGGAACAAGAGTACAAATATGAAACCCTAATCTGGTGTACCCCCTAAGGTGTAACCCACTACAGCCTAGAACCACATAAACATATAATGTTTGACACAACAACCCGTTTCATCGTGATGGCGTTGACGTGGACCGTTGAAGGCTCGGGTGACCGCCAGCGAGGTAGTTCGACCCAGTTACCACTACTTCGCACGGTGCAGCTACCCGTCGTCCAGTCAATTCGCGGGTTATACCGTCGCAGCCAATCACGTCCCAATAAGATGTCATGCCCATCCAGTGTCGTGGCGAGCATTTCCTGTGTAAACCCGAAGTTCCCTCCGCAGCGGATTTTTACTCGCTCCACCTTTTCCCGAATGGTCAGTGGCGTGCCGTCGACTAAGCGTGCGTCTATCTTAGGTAAGCAGCAGTTAAGTGTTAACTGCAGTTTCCGTGCGGTCGCGGTATTAACTAAACTGTGACTTGCTCCTCCGTCAATAAAAATCTTCACTGCTGCTCCCTGTATCTTCCCGTAGATTAGTACTGGGCAATCCGTCGCTGTACCCTCCTTATTCATCCGAGCCCGATCGATGGCGTGAATCGGTATTGTGACTCGGTGAGGGTCGGTGCGGTTGGGCGAGCAGGCAGTCTCGTCAGTAGTTGGCCCAACTTCTACTGACTGCTGGCGTTTCCCGGCCTCTGAGACTCCCTCCCCTGCTCTGCTCCGCGGCGCCTCAGCTCCTTTGGGCATTCGCTCTTACGATGGCCCGGCCTGTTGCAAGCAAAGCAGCGCCCCTTGAACAGTGCGGCACCTGCATTCGTTGCGACGGCGTGTACAGTGGCGTGCTCGGTCGGTCCCCGAGGGCGATGTCCGTAGTAGGACCCTGGTCTCGGTCGGCGTAGAATGTCGATTTTCTCGGCGAGCGCGAGAATCTCGTTGAAGTTAGAGAGTCCGCGCAGCATGATTTCGTGCGAGATATCCGGCTTCAGCCCTCCGATGTAACGGTCCACCCGCTCCGCTTCGTACATGTAGCCGACCTGTTCGCAAAGTGCGAGAAAACCGCTTGTATAATCTTGAACCGACCCGAGCTGGCGCCAAGTGCGCAATCTCTGACGCACCGAAATCGAAGCCACGATCGGCTCGAAGCGCGCCCGTAGTCCTGCGCACCACGCATCCCACGTGCTGTATTGGGCGGTCTCGCAGAACGAACTCCAGGTGACAGCTGGACCCATGGGCCCTTCCTCGTGCGACGGTGGCTCGTAGGCGCGTGGCGATGTCACGATGACTCGCCACCAGTCCATGGCGGGGCCCCTTAGCAGCGAAACTGCATACCGGATCTTTGCGGCGTCCGACTCGACGTAGTTTGCGTCGAAGAAGACGTTCATCGTGAAGATCCACGATTGAACCGGCGGACCTCCGCGTTGGCTTGGGTCGAAGCAGGGCGGGCGTTGCGGTTTGAGCGGCATTGGTGCCATAATGGCCTATTCGCCACTTGTTGCCGCAAATTCCACGTGCCGACGGGCTTCCCGGGGCTCCCGCGGGCTTGGTGCGATCCTGCCTCCCCCCATGCCAGGCATCGGCTGGGCGGCGCCATCACTGGCTGCGCCTGAGCGTTGTCCCATGCTGTCGTGTTGTGTTGGTGTGCCGGACGAGATGATGATCGGCTCGTCCGATTGTGCAGATGCATTTGTCGGTGCGTGTGGTGTCGCCGAAATGTTCACCGTGGATTGTTGACGGGCGGAGTCACGTTCCGCCGTGAGCGTCGCGATTTCGAGCGCCGAATCTTCTAGTTGACGCACGAGACGATCAAGCTGCTCCTGCGTCAATGTGGCGAGCGTGAAATCGGCCATGGCGGGGGTGTCGGGCAAGCTCAGCGAGAGCCTCGGTCGTGGCCGTGCGTGCTTACGAGAGAGCACTACGAGCGGCGGTGCTGTATCGCTGAGAGACGTCTACCCCCCCCCCCCAAAATTGAGATACTGGGGAAGCGAAAATGTGGATGCGGTCCGAGATGAGATCGTAGGCTCTGAATACCAAGTGTTACGAGTGCAATTGAGTGAACGAACGAGAATTGCACTATCGAAGTAAGAGTACAATGAGCGAAGGCATGAGCGAAGAATATATAGCGAAACTACAGTGGTAACGGTAATGGACTGTGGTTGTCGTGCGACGAGCCTGGGACTGAGGTTGGGAAAGTGTCGAAGCGGAGGCCCGGAGCGCGGGTTACCAGCCGAGCCGTGAGGTCGGGGTGCGATGTGCGAAGATGGCGGGATGATTGTCGATGCGAGGATCGCGAGTGGTAACGGTGCTGACTGAGGTGCTACACTGATGTACGCGTTGAGCGGGGATGCAAAGGAAGGAAAAGGGATTTTCCTTACAGCTGCCGCGTTATCCGCAATGTCCATTGACGGACTTGACGCGCCCGTGTCAGGTGGTCAACCGGTTTCAACAGGCGTGACAAGTGGAGTTTCCACCTGCAATCTAAACTTCCAGCACGCCGTGACAATCGGTCGAGCATGTTGTGAATCGTGAATTGCGGCGTGATCCACTTTCCCCTCGCAGGTTGGGAAAGTTGCAGGAAATCGAATTCGCCAGCCTCATCTTTACAGTAACCAGCGTCGCGACGCTCGCCACTCCACCGTCGCAACTCCCTGGCCTCTGAAACACGGAACAGCGAAGCTCACGGAGTTCACCTGGCGCGAAAGTACATTTCCCGCCAACCATGAGTTCCAACCATTTCCTGTGTATACTTTGTTGAGCAAGGGCGAGCCGCGTTCTCACCACCCTCCTATGAAAACACCCGTCCCTTCCATCGTTATCATCAGTTCTCATATCAATAATCATTCTCTGTTTGCTACGATTTCCTCTTCTTGTTTTTCTCGTCATCCGCTCCTCTCGTTAGTTCGTTACGCTTCGAGAAACGTCGGATTCACAATGGGTTACACGATGCGAGGCATATCTTTGCCGCTGCTGCTTCTCGCGCTTTTCGTAGCGTCAGCCTCCGTCGCGCCTGGTAAGATCCCGCGACTTGTATCACGACCTTTTCACCAAAAACAGTTTTCTTCTCCCAGATGAAACTTCCGTTTCCTCGCACCTTCTCCCCTTTCGCGCAGCTTTCTTTTCTGATACTCTGAATTGGTTTTGACTCTGTAAGATGTCGCCCGATTCTTCCGCGTTTTCTCCTTCTCGCGCAGTTTTTGGAAGGACCTTATCTACTCGTCGCAGCCTTGCCCTCAAGGCCCTCTCGCTCGTGAGCTTTCCGGGATCGTCAACCATTACTCTGCTAGCAAATCCCGGAGACACTGGCGGAGATATCGGCGGAGATATCGGCGGAGATACCGGCAGTGGCGGCGAAATTGGGGGAGGGGGCGATGCGGGGGAAGGCGGAGAACCTGGCGGACCTGGCGGAGACGTCGGCGGCGATCAGGGCGGTCCTGAGGGCCCCCCTGGTGGCGACAACGGGGATACCGCCAGTGGCGGAGATCCCGGCAGTGGCGGCGACGTTGGGGGAGGCGAGGACGGCCCGCCACCGATCGGCGCCGGCGGAAAGGGAGGAAAGGGCGGAAAGGGAGGGAAAGGTGGAAAGGGCGGAAAGGGAGGAAAGGGCGGAAAGGGAGGGAAAGGGGGCAAGGGGGGAAAGGGAGGGAAACCTGGTAACCAGCACGGTGGAGCTGGCGGAGAGCAGGGGGAAGCTGGCGGAGAGCAAGGGGGAGCTGGCGGAGAGCAGGGGGGATCTGGCGGACAGCAGGGAGGATCTGGTGGAGAGCAGGGCGGGGTTGTTGAGGAGCAGGGGGGGTCAGGGGGGGCGGATGGTAGCCAGACTGGGGGCATAACGAGCACCGGAAAGGGCGGAAAGGGAGGAAAGGCTGGGAAGGGCGGAAAGGGTGGGAAAGGAGGGAAAGGAAGCAAGGGGGGAAAGGGAGGGAAACCTGGTAACCAGCAGGGCGGGCCTGGCGGAGAGCAAGGGGGATCTGGCGGAGAGCAAGGTGGGGCAGGCGGAGAGCAGGGGGGATCCGGCGGAGACCAGGGGGGACCCGGCGGAGAGCAGGGGGGATCTGGTGGAGGGGCTGGCGGGGAGCAGGGTGGGGCGGATGGTAGCCAGACTGGGGGCACAACGAGCACCGGAAAGGGCGGAAAGGCTGGGAGGGGCGGAAAGGGTGGGAAAGGAGGGAAAGGGGGCAAGGGTGGAAAGAAATAAAAGCTTTTGCAACACATAGGTTGTACCACTGTTTCTTCTTGTACCATTATTGCAGCCAAGTCCATATATGCTGTACTTTCCGAAACCTTCGTGTAAGAATGCCAAAGCAGCCCTAGTAACCTGTGGTACTTGTGTCAGACGTCAGCAGTATGGACGCAAGCTAAGGTTTTTTTAGCCTTTTGCATTTCCGGCACAAGCATAAAACTCGACTGCAACTTCTGTCACCATAGCCTTTTACCAACTCTTGCAGCTACTACGATGTTCTCGATGCGCACTTTCATTCTTGCGCCGTCACCAATCTGTCGCGACAAGAAACATCCTACCAAGCTCTTGTAGCTACGGCGAGATGGCAAGCAGTACCATGCTACGAATTTCTAACTGACGGAAGATGTACGGAGTAGTGTCTGATCGGGATTCGGGAAGGCAGGCTTGGTTGGGTCAGTGTGCTGAAAAGTTTGGGGCGCGTTTTTGCAATGGCACAGCCTGTGTAACCCAGGCTGCTACCCACAGGGAATTACACGACGGAATGCGAAGCAGGTAACCTCGCAGGTCACATTGTCGGCTCATCCCAGCAGCGCTGGTTGCGAAGTGTGCGATTATTCAGCGAAGACGGGGACACCCCACACGTTGATCCAGCAATCATTCCATGCGGTTTAGAACGTTCTCGACACATCGCCGAAACGCTCTTCACCGCTTTGATTTGTGGAGCACCAGATCAAACCGTGGTGCGTGAGTTGAACAACGTGAGCGTGAGCGACATTCCCTAAGCGTCAAGCCGTATGACAGCTGCATCACCAATCAACAGTCACTTCGGTGATGGCTTGAAATTGGTGGTAGGATTTCTTATCCAGAACGCAACGACGATAAATCTTACTTAGCTCAGGTTGCTTTCTGAAATTTCACCATGATACGAGGCCTCGGTTACTGCACGGTGTGCGCATTCACGGCTTGTTAACCGCGTAGTATCACCGCGACGCGAGTGATCCGCATGGCCTTGTGATTGTGAATCCGCGACACCAACGTGTCGTTTTCCCGCCAGTAATGTCAGCGACATCTTTGGAGCGTCTATCCCGTCGTCATTCTTCGCGAGTGCGAAATGGCGGTGTCTGCAGGGCTGGTTACCAGCATCGTCCTTTGGCTGCTGCTCAATCTTCTCGTTCCCCTGCTCTTCAAGGTACTACTTCCTTGACTTCTCAGATATATTTCTGACATCTCAGATGTTTTTTCTAGTTTTATTTAAGCGTCGTCTCGACTGACGACTGGTAAGCTGTTGTACTTTGGTTGCTGCTCAATCTCCGCGTTTCCTTTCCCCGCTCTTTAGGGTACTTACCAGACGTCTCAGATAAAAATCTCTTAGTGCAGTCTCTCAACCAGCGTTTAATAAGCTGCTTCGTTTTGGCCGCTGCTCACCTTCTCGTCCCCCTGCTCTTTGAAGCTACAAAAGTCTGTTTCATTTGGCCGCGAGACGGATCCGATCCTCTTTTTCCCCCTTCTTTCTCTCTCCTTTTCACTCCCTTCGTTAGTAAGCTCATCCCCCCTGCACTGGCGCTGGCTGCGCGGAGGCAGGGGAAGGGGAGCCTCAGTTGCGTCAATGCGCCAATTCCCCACTACCCTTCTCCCATTCCCCCCCACTCCCCCCCACTCCCTGTCCGCCCTCCACCCTCCTCCTGCCCCTTGTCCTTTCCCTCAGCGCGCGGAGTTCTCTCTCCGCGCATCCCCCTTGCACTGGCGCTGGCTGCGCGGAGACAGGAGGAGGGGGAGCCTCAAGCGGAAGCGCAGGGCAAGGGGAGGCGAATGCGATAGTAAAGGGGGAGGAAGTGCCCAAAGCGAATGTGCTAATAAAGGGGTCGGAGGAGGCTTGGATAGCAGCGGAGAGGAGGATTGGGGGGAGAGTGGTGGGAGAAGGGGAGGGGCGGATGGAGGGGAGATGAGGGGGAGTAAGGGAGAGGTAGGGGGAAACGATGGGAGAGCACAGGGCGAAAGGGAGCGAGAAGGGGTTACCCTCACAAGTGGGGTTACATCTAGCATAGGGTAAGTTATACACCTTCTAGTTGAGTATATATATAAAAATATATACGTATATGACCTCCCCTCCCGCCCTCTCTCCCTCCCTCCCTCCCTCCCTCCCTCCCTCCCTCCCTCCCTCCCTCCCTCCCTCCCTCCCTCCCTCCCTCCCTCCCTCCCTCCCTCCCTCCCTCCCTCCCTCCCGCCCTCCCTCCCTCCCTCCCTCCCTCCCTCCCTCCCTCCCTCCCTCCCTCCCTCCCTCCCTCCCTCCCTCCCTCCCTCCCTCCCTCCCTCCCTCCCTCCCTCCCACCCTCCCTCCCACCCTCCCTCCCTCCCTCCCTCCCTCCCTCCCTCCCTCCCTCCCTCCCTCCCTCCCTCCCTCCCTCCCTCCCTCCCTCCCTCCCTCCCTCCCTCCCTCCCTCCTTCCCTCCCGCCCACCACCAGGTACGGTCAGATCCACACCACGTGTTTCAACACGAGCACCTTCACATGCTTGAGGGCACCACAGAGTGTCATCCGTTTGCCTCCCACCCTCCCTTCTCCCCATCCCTCCTCCCTCCCTCGCATCACCAGGTACATTCAGGTCCACACCACGTGCTTCAACCCTTGGCTAGAGCGGCTTCGCATGCTGCCTGCTAAGTCAGCTACCAAGAGGTGGGGCATTGGGTTGGGCTGTAGTTGAAATGCTTGATTTTCTCGTTCACTTCAGGGTGTTTCTTGTTTTGGCAATCCTTTTCTGTTCTTCGTATTATGCCTAAACCTCAGCGCGCGAATAAAAACATAAACTGCACAAAGAGACAGAAAAAACCTTCCCTGGTTTTTCTTCATTTCGGGATGCTCCGTGCATGGTTCACATGGGGGGTCATTGCAGCCTCTGTATCATTGCATGGTTCTTTGTGTCTCGTGTAACCCTCAGTACTCCAACCGAACATCGCCACATGCTAATATTTTCTCATGTGTCTCATCTCATCCCAGGATGCTCCGTGCATGGTTCACATGGGGGGTCATTGCAGCCTGCGTCGCCTTCCTATTGGCCTCTCTGGTGCGTGTGTGCATACAACCCTCCCTCATCTCTCCCCATTCGCATTCACATGGGGGGGTCATTGCAGCCTGCGTCGCCTTCCTATTGGCCTCTCTGGTGCGTGTGTGCATACAACCCTCCCTCATCTCTCCCCATTCGCATTCACATGGGGGGTCATTGCAGCCTGCGTCGCCTTCCTATTGGCCTCTCTGGTGCGTGTGTGTGTGCACGAAACCCTCATTTTTTACCATTCTTATTCGCACGCGCTGGGACCGTCGAACGAATTTTGAGGCGCCTCAAACGTTCCCATTGTCATTGTGCGTAGGTGCCTCGAACGCTTCTATACGAGTGTATTCATGCCACTCTCAATCCAGCACGTATCGTATCGTATCGTATCGTATCGTATCGCATCGCATCGCATCGCCTTCATGTTGGCCCTCTGATTCGTGGATTGCATGCATCAAACTCGACAAATATTTATTTGTTTCATGCTTAGGTCCCCCCTCCCTTCCCTCCCTCCGTTCCCTCCCTTCCTTTCCCTCCCTTCCTTTCCCTCCCCAGGTTCTTCTATGGGACGGCCTTGTTGCTTCCCTCCTCGTCCCTCTCCTCCGCCACCTCTCCACCTCATCCCAGCACCTAGCGGAACAGCAGCGCTTTTACCCTCACACCCACTCTCACAACCACTCTCACTACAGTCACATCCCTTCTGCTGTAAACGCCTCTTTCGGACCTTCGTCTCCTGTCGTCGCCCTCTCTAGAGCAACGGGTGCTGCAGCGTCCCTTGCAGCACAGCAAGCGTCCCATGCAGCACAGCAAGCCGTCCAAGCAGCAGAGCCACACCCCGCTGCCCCAGCAGAGCCAGCAACGTCCGCCACTCCTGCTGCGACCTCTTCCTCCCTGCATCTTCTACAGCCTGTGGTGAGTGAGTGAGTGAGTGAGAGAGTGAGTGAGTGAGTGAGTGAGTGCTGAGGAGGGCTGGCACTGGCATTGGCACTGAAAGCGTGCCTTGCAGCACAGCAAGCTGTCCAAGCAGCACAGCAAGCTGTCCAAGCAGCACAGCAAGCTGTCCAAGCAGCACAGCAAGCTGTCCAAGCAGCACAGCCACACCCCGCTGCCCCAGCAGAGCCAGATGCGCATGCTGCACGGCAAGCAAGCAACCGCCCCTGCCTCTGCTGCGACCCCACCATCCTCGCTTCACGTGCTACAGCCAGTGGTGGTGAGTGAGTGAGTGGGTGGGTGAGTGAGAGGCGCATGCTGCAAGGCAAGCAACCACCCCTGCCTCTTCCTCTGCCTCGACCCCATCGTCCTCGCTTCACGTGCTGCAGCCGGTGGTGAGTGAGTGAGTGGGTGAGTGAGTGGTGGTTGGGTGAGTGGGTGGATTGAGTGAGTGAGTGAGTGAGTGAGTGAATGTGTGAGTGAGTGAGTGTTGAGGGGGGCTAGTACTAGCACTGGCATTGCAAGCGTCCCATGCAGCACAGGCACAGCAAGCCTTCCCATTCCAAGCAGCAGAGCCACACCCCACTGCCCCAGCTGAGCCAGATGCGCATGCTGCACGGCAAGCAACCACCCCTGCCTCTGCCTCTGCCTCTGCCTCGACCCGACCGTCCTCGCTTCACGTGCTACAGCCTGTGGTAAGTGAACGAGTGCGTCTGTGTGTGGGTGAGTGGGTGGTGAGTGAGTGACTTAATGATTGAATTGAGTGTTAGTGAGCTGGTGGGTGGGTGGTGAGAGCTGAGGACAAGTGGGTAATCCTTACCTGTCCTTACTTCCACCCCTCTTTTTCGTTGCTTCCTTCACTCCACCTCCCCATTTCTCACTCTCCTCTCACCACTTCACCCCCCTCTCCTTTTCCGCCCCCCTCTCCACCTCTCTCCCCCTCCCTCCCTCCCTCCCTGCTCTTTTCCTCCCCCGAACCGTTCCATACCTGGCCCCCACGTGGAGCAACAGCTGCCAGGTGTCAACATGCCATTGGCCGATCTCGGGTACCTCTTTATAGCCACGCTTATCAGCCTGGCGTGGCATGAGGCAGGGCACGCCGTAGCTGCTGCCGTGTGAGTGTAAGTGTCGTGGGAGTGTGTGTGTGTGTTTGTGTGTGTGTGTGTGTGTGTGTGTGTGTGTGTGTGTGTGTGTGTGTGTGTGTGTGTCCACCCCTGTCCGCTACCCACAGAGAGGGCGTGAGGGTGCAGCACGTGGCGTGCTCCTCCTGGCGCTGCTGCTCCCCAGTCTCTTCCCCCTGCCAACCCATTTCTTTCCCCACGTCTCGTCTCACTACAGGGAGGGCATGCTCCCCGGAGTCCACGTCGCCTTCCATCCCTCTTGTAGCTCACTTTCCTGTTTTCCCCTCCCCCCTCCCTCCTCCCCCGCTCCCCATCCAGAGAGGGAGTGCGAGTGCAGCACGTGGCATGCTTCCTCCTCGCTCTGCTGCTCCCCGGAGCACACGTGGCCTTCCATCCCGCCGACTTCCACGCCCTCCCTCCCTTTCGCCTGCTGCGAATCCTCTCTGCCGGCATATGGCACAACACGGTGGTGAGTGCTGGCATATGGCACAACATGGTTGTGAGTGCTGGCATATGGCACAACATGGTGGTGAGGGCTGGCATATGGCACAACATGGTGGTGAGTGCTGGCATATGGCACAACATGGTGGTGAGTGCTGGCATATGGCACAACATGGTGGTGAGTGCTGGCATATGGCACAACATGGTGGTGGGTGCTGGCATATGGCACAACATGGTGGTGAGTGCTGGCATATGGCACAACATGGTGGTGAGTGCTGGCATATGGCACAACATGGTGGTGAGTGCTGGCATATGGCACAACATGGTGGTGAGTGCTGGCACATGGCACAACATGGTGGTGAGTGCTGGCATATGGCACAACATGGTGGTGAGTGCTGGCATATGGCACAACATGGTGGTGAGTGCTGGCATATGGCACAACATGGTGGTGAGTGCTGGCATATGGCACAACATGGTGGTGAGTGCTGGCATATGGCACAACATGGTGGTGAGTGCTGGCATATGGCACAACATGGTGGTGAGTGCATGCATATGGCACAACATGGTGGTGAGTGCTGGCATATGGCACAACATGGTGGTGAGTGCTGGCATATGGCACAACATGGTGGTGAGTGCTGGCATATGGCACAACATGGTGGTGAGTGCTGGCATATGGCACAACATGGTGGTGAGTGCTGGCATATGGCACAACATGGTGGTGAGTGCTAGCATATGGCACAACATGGTGGTGAGTGCTGGCATATGGCACAACATGGTGGTGAGTGCTGGCATATGGCACAACATGGTGGTGAGTGCTGGCATATGGCACAACATGGTGGTGAGTGCTGGCATATGGCACAACATGGTGGTGAGTGCTGGCATATGGCACAACATGGTGGTGAGTGCTGGCATATGGCACAACATGGTGGTGAGTGCTGGCATATGGCACAACATGGTGGTGAGTGCTGGCATATGGCACAACATGGTGGTGAGTGCTGGCATATGGCACAACATGGTGGTGAGTGCTGGCATATGGCACAACATGGTGGTGAGTGCTGGCATATGGCACAACATGGTGGTGAGTGCTGGCATATGGCACAACATGGTGGTGAGTGCTGGCATATGGCACAACATGGTGGTGAGTGCTGGCATATGGCACAACATGGTCGTGAGTGCTGGATGGCTATCCTTTCAGCCTCACGTCACATCATTGTGCCTCACATCTGCTCCCTCCTGCGAGCACATGTGGCCTTCCATCCCATCTTCTCTCTGCCTGCCTCCTGCCCGCCTGCTGAGAGTGCTTTCCTCCGGCACAGTGGCGCAACATAGTGGTGAGTCTTGTGCATTGAGTGTCGAAGTAGAACAGGTGGGCTGCGGAGGCGCAACAGTGGCGCAACATAGTGGTGAGTCTTGTGCATTGAGTGTCGAAGTAGAACAGGTGGGCTGCGGAGGCGCAACAGTGGCGCAACATAGTGGTGAGTCTTGTGCATTTCTGCATGGCTTGGCACCACCCTCTCTTGTTTCCTCTCTTGTGAGTCTTCCAACCTTTTCACTTCCACTCCCTGCCTTCCCCTTGCCTGCTGAGAGTGCTTTCCGTCACCAGCTGGCGCAACATAGTGGTGAGTCTTGTGCATTTCTGCAATTTCTCCGTCTTGCGTCCCCACTCGTTCTGCAACTTCACCCTCACCCCGCTCGCCCCTCACCCTCTCTGTTCCCCTCCCCTCTCCCCTGCACCATCTCCCCACTCCCACCTATGCAGCTGTCTCTGCTGCTCCTCTCCTCTCCCCCTTTCTCCAAACCGCGCTCTTCCTTCCTCTCTACCCCATCTTATCCACCCTGTTCCCATCTTTCCCTACCCATCTGATCTGGCCCCACTCCCACCTATGCAGCTGTCTCTGCTCGCTCTGCTGCTCCTATCCTCTCCCCTCCAAGCGGTCCTCTTCCTTCCCCTCTACTCCCAGTCACCACCAGGCCTTAAGGTACGCCCCTCCCTGCATGTCCCCTTCCTCCCCTCTCCTCTTCTCTCATATCCCCTCCTTCCGTTTCCTTCCCATCCAAGCACTGCTCTTCTTCCGCTCTACTCCCAGTCCCCCCCCAGGCCTCAAGGTACGTCCCTCCCCGTATGTCCCATTTCCCAGTAAAGAACGACTCTGCGTTTGCTTCAAGCCGTGTGCCTCAAGCCGTGTAACTCCACCATGCCTTTCCCCCGTTATAGTCACATATGACATCCGTGTGTGGTTTCTTCCCACCCCACCCCCAGGTTACATCCGTGCATCCGCTCTCCCCTCTCTTCAGTCACATTCGCCCAGGAGACTCCTTACTAGTACTTGACCACACTCCGCTTTCCTCTCTTGCCGACTACACTCACCTCCTCTCCCATCTCTCCCTCCTCTCCCACCTCTCCTACCCTCTGCCTCCTTCGATCCCTCCCTCGCCTCCTTCCCGTGGGTATTGCATTTCCCTCTCGGCCAATCACGAGCTGCCACCTGGATTCCTGACTCCTCCAGCCTTTCCAGCCAATGGTAGCATCCCACCAATAGCTTCATCTAGACCAATCCCCAGCTCTTTCCTAGAACCTTCCCACCAGCATCCTCATCATTCCAACATGGAGCCATTCCCACCACCTCGGCCAATCTCCTGTGATGCCTCGTTTCCTGGAACCATCCTTTTCCGGCAAGCTCCAGCTGGCGATGCGGAACCTTCCTCGCCGATTCCTGGCAGTGAACCGCACCAAGAGGAAGCTTCCGTTCAGTTTCCTGGTGATGAATCGCAGAACCAAGAAGAAGCTTCTCAGATGGTTCCTACTGCGGCATGTTTGCGTCCGAGAGAAGTGGTGGAGGGAGGGAGGAGATGCGGATGGGGGTGGATGGGTGATGATGGGGAGGAGGAAGGGAAGGACGAGGGGAAGGAAGAAGGGAAGCAAGAGGGGAAGCAAGAGGGAAAGCAAGAGGGGAAGCAGCAGCGTCAATGCGATAAGGTGAGTGTGAGAGATCATTGAGATAGATACCCTCAGAAAAAGCACTGAGAGATATTCTCTGCCTGCTCCCTAAATGCGCGTCTCTCAGTGCCTCTGAAGGACGTGCTCCTAAGAGCAAGCTCGTTATTTCGGGGGGAAAGGGGGGGGAGAATATGCTCTCCTCAGAACAAGCACTAGAGGACATGCATTTAGGGAGCAGCATGACAAGGGGGGGGGAAATATGCTATCTGTTGTGTTTGAGTGGTTTGATTTTCTTTTCTTCTCTTCTCTTTTCTTTTCTTTTCTTTTCTTTTCTTTCCTTTTCTTTTCTTTTCTTTTCTATTCTGGCCTGTATGTCATGCCAAAACCATCTTCTGCTCCTTTGTTGCTCTTTGTGCTGCTTCAAATCTCTTTCCTCTCGACATCATCCCATCATCCTCCCTTCCCTTCACCCTTTGCCCATGGCCAGGTTTCCACCTGCATGCATGGCCCCTGCACTTTTCCATCACCATCTGCTGCTCCTAGTACGGTTTCAGAAATCTTTCTTCTCTTTCTCCTTGTTTTGTCCTTCCCTCACGGCCAGGGATCCGTCTGCATGGCCCCAGTCCTTCCTCATCACCATCTGCTGCTCCTAGTGCAGTTTCAGCCCTCCCCCTACTCACCCTCCTCCTCCTCCACCTCTTCCTCCTTTTCCAGTTCCTCTCCTTCCTCCTCCACTTCCTCCGCTCCCTCCTCTCTAGTGTTTGTGGGAACCATTGAGTCCTTTGCACAGGGCCTCTCTCTTTCCCCGTGGCATCCTCGCACACTCACTCTCCCTCTCACACTGCCTAACCTTGCACTGGAACACCGAAAATTGTTGCATGCACCAAGCCAGCCTGCTGCTGCTAGCATGCTGCAGAGAGAAGAGCAGCAGCAGCAGCGATGGCAACTAAGGAAACAGCAGCTGGAGCAGGGAAAGGAGCAGCAGCAGCACTGGCAGCAGGTGCTTCAGCAGGGAGAGGAGCAACAGCAGCAACTGCTGCAGCAACAGCAGAGAGAGCAGGATCAGCTGGAGAGCGAGGAAGGAGAAGAGCAGCATCATAACCGTTCATTTCTGTTACCAGCATCGCCACCATCGATGGTTCAGATTTCAGCGCCATTGTGGGGCCCTGTGGTGGTGACACGTGTCGCTCTCTTTGTCTTCCACGTGTCCAATGCTCTCGCCCTCATCAACGCTGCTCCGGTGAGTATTATAAGTTACTTATGATCAATTCAGACCGAAAATTGTAGCAGTATCGTCGCTTTTGCAAAAATCAAAGGATGTTGCGCTTAGGTGGCTGCTTTCCCTCATTCTCTACTGTTCCATTTCCTTTTCTCACCTCAACTTTTCATTTCCTTTACTGTTCTATTGGAGGTGATGTCGCTACAAGGAATCACCTCCAATGCCACTGTTGACTGTTGTATCTCCTTGTCTCCATTCCGTCCTCACTATAAAGTTTTCTTTCTCAACCAACACGCCCATAGCCTCTTCCTCCCATCCCATTCATCTATTTCGTCATCTGCCCACACCCCTTCCCCAACCTGTTACCGCTTGAATTTCCTCCTCAATTTCTTTCAAACCTCCTCCACCTGCTTCTCCCATTTCCCTCACATCCTCTCGCCTCACATCCACACCTCAGGCACCAACAACAAATCATTCGCCACCATCGTATTCTCACTAGTGTACTATACAGTGGCTCTTTCCTTCTTCTCGTCTCCCTGACTCAATCTACTGCATCTATTTCTTCATTTCTACCCTCCCCTCTCTTCCCCTCTCCCCTCCTTCCTGTTCCCGTTCAGATTTTCTTCCTTGATGGAGAGGCCATTCTCTCAGACTTCCTCCGCCTGGTTCTCCCTTTTCCCTCGCATCCTCTCTCCTCCCATCCTCTCTCCTCCCATCATCTGCACCTCCGTCACCAACAGCAAATCATTCGCCACCATCGTATCCTCATGAGTGTCCTTTATGGGGGCTCTTTCCTTCTTTTCGTCTCCCTGGCTTCATCTATAATGTTTTCTCATACATGAACTGACCGGATTTCCTAGTCCCGACCCAAACATGTCATCACAATGTACCGCATGAGTGTATTCATCAGGCCCTCATATTGGTTTGAGGGTATGCTGATGGATCAGCGTGCCCCTGTCAACCAGGTGTCCAAATCAGCGTTGGTGGTTTTCTTTATACTGATACTGTCAGTGTAATTATTTTTCCTAAACTGAACCTGCAGTGTAAAAAAACCAAAAAAGCAGAGCTGATGCAACAGTGCATGGATGCGTCCAAAGTTACCATTGTGACAAACCGCAGCACCAATACCGCATGCTGGCTGAATCTACCACTAACAAACTAGCTCATGTCATGTCTTCATCAGAAGAAACGCTCGCATCATCACCACTGCTACTGGCATCGTCATCACTCTCACTGCCATCGCCTGCAGAACCACACATGCCCTCGTCTAGGTCCTCCTCCACCACCCGGCGGCCACTCCCCTTAACAAAATTGGCCTTGGCCCGCTCCTTCTCTGGCGCAGCTTGCTCCTTGCGCTTGCTGGGGCGCCTTTTCCTGGTGCTCCGCCAGATGTCCAGCACCTTATCCCACTCCATGTCGTAGTCGAGCAGACTCATTGCCAGCAAATCTCCCAGCTTGGCGTTGCAGAGACTCGTCCAGCGCCACGACTTGATCACATTCTGGCGGGAAAACCCGCGCTCGCACTCGACTGTGCTGAGAGGCAGAACAGCGACCGCAGCCCACAGACGGACTAAATTGGGGTAGTTGGTCTGCCAGTCGTTGGTCTGCAAGATGGCCTTCAAACCTGCGTGAAAGGGCTGCTCTTCCTTGGGGGCAGTGGAGAGCACCGGCAGGAACGTGCGCAGCTCCACTCGTGCCGCACGCTTCTGGACACCTGCGAAACGGGTTGAGCACAACCAGGGTAGAAAGTCAAGCGCACAACATGGGAATAACGCAACCACGGAAACGGCAATGCATACACGCAGGTCAGTGGGGATCTATTTCTCGCTCACCAGGCAAGATCGTGTCCCGGTTCTTGGCCTGAAACAGATGGACGAGGCCGTGCAGGTGTGCTCCTTGCACTCTGCGTCTCTTGCCTCGACGCCCCTCGGCCACGAGCGGGGCATGAAGAGCTTCGCCCCGTTCAAGCGCGTCAGGTCTCCCAAGCGCCGCTCGAGGTTGTACACCAGCTCGCAGGCGAATGAGCGGCAGCAGGTGTAGCAGCCTTGCATGTCCCCGCTGCTGGTGGTGTATCCCTTGACTGCCTCCTCGTGCAGCTGGAACTTGTGTACACGGGGCTGACCCTCCTTGTCCACCCCTTCCACAGTCACTTCACGGCAGTCGGGCGAGGCGTGCCGCGCGAGGAAAGCAGACAGCAGCTCGCTGGTCCCACCGCCAAACTGCTGGCCACAGTTTAGGTACCTCTGCTCCATGTAGATGATGGTCCGCCTCACCTGGGAGTGCACTGCAGTGAGGTCGACCTGTTGGTGGGGGGAGAATCGGTACACCGAAACAAAAGATAAGTACCTGGGAGAAGAAGAGAACTGCAAAACGGAACTCAACAACTCACCTGTCGCTTCTGGAATAGCAGGTTGAGCGCGTTGAGTGCCGTGTGCACATCTGCCAAGAAGAACAGGAAGTAATGAAACTTGAACGACGTTACTAAGTGGTACATTGTCTTGTCCGACTCTTCGAGCATAACGATGACAGCAGGTAGAACGCGTACGAATCGTGCGATTGCATCGCCGCAACTCAACCAGCGGACGCTGTGGATCCCCTGGACCTCGAGGTTGGTATGCGTGAACACTTCCTGCAGCTCCTTGAACTTGCGGTTGGAGTTGCTGGATCTGCCGAGATCTTCCTCCACTATGCGGATAACGGCGTCGATTATGCCAAGCTCGGGTAGTGCCTTAGCCGCCTCCTTTGCAGCAAGCGCTTCCCTGCCACAGGTAGAAATGCACGGGTGGGGGTGTTAGAATTCGCACTGCGACATACCACGTTGCACATCTCATACCGCAACAACACCACCACAGCAACAGTTTACCTCTATGCAATGCAGTGAGAAGCCACCACGTGCGGGATCTCCAGTCGAAGACGCCCAACGAGGCCCGTGTCGTTGCCTATCATCACAGGTGCCCCATCGGTGTTGATACCTGCCACCTTCTCCAGCGGCAGGCTAATACTGTCAAGGAATCCCGTGATCTTAGCATAAAGAGATGCTGCATCACACTTCTCGACGGAGAGGTTAGTCAGAAACTCTGTGGTGACGGCATGCTCACGCAGAAAGGTTACAAACACAATCATGTGCTTCCCTTTGATGCGGTCCGTACTCTCGTCGCAGCTCAGACCAATGAATGGACTCGAATCAATGAATTCTCTCTGGCGCGCACAAAGGTATGTCGCTATTGTAGCGGTGATCTCTTCAAATTCGTACCTGCACGGGCATCAACGCGTGTGGTTAGTGATAGCTTCACGTATATTCCATCCCCCGACGATATGTACTAGAGCAGTGTCACTTACGTCGTGTAGTAGGCACCATAACTGTCAAACACTCTTTGTGTTGTTGTTGGGTAGGCTGTCAACGGGAGTTGGGTATTGGCCACGTCCTCGCTTGGGCGGAGCCGACTTCGTGGTCGGGTGTGAGGGGAGCAGCCGACCTGCGGCAGTGGGTGAGCTGGTCGACGAGGAGGTCGACCTGCATGGGGGACCACTGCAAGGGACGCCGAGCTGGGCGTCGCCATGACCACCCGGACACCTGGTCGACGTCGTGGGCGTCTGCACGGCGTCCGGGGATCCGTACGCCGACCTGGGCGTCGGGTCCTGACACCGACCTGGGTGTCTGGTCGGCGTCCTGGGAGGAGGGACGCCGCTTTGGAGGTTTGGTCGGCGTCCTGGGCGTCTGGACGCCGACCTAGGGGTTCGGAAGGCATTCTGGGCGCGCCTGGACACCGGACCGGGGATGTCGGGCATGCGTGACACTGCGTGAGTCGACCAGGCGTGGTTGCCCGGTCGATCGGGATACCTGGGCGACGTGCGCGAGTGTCGCCAGGATGGAGACTTCGAGGTCGACCTCGGGGTGGTATCCCGAGGTTGACGTGGCTGGTGGGCACAGTCGCTGGCATGGGATCTGCCAGGCGTCTGCATTGTGCACGTGACTAGGAAGTGCACACCAACCAGCTGCGCGCATCTGCGAAGCAGGTGCACCGTTGTCCTGCGGATGCAACGCTGTGCAGCCGACTTGGTGCAGCGCTGGCACACCGTGGACTTGCAACGTTGGCGAACCGCTACTCTGCTACGCTGGAGCTGTGCGAGCACTGCTGCGCTGGAGTGCGGTCGACCGTGCTGCGCTGGAGGTCGACCAGCAGCCTAGCTAGCTCTGATGTAGTCAATGTTGCCAATGTTGTTGCTATCATTCTTCTGAATTTTTCCTAGTGGAACTCTTGCCAATTTTCCCCGTGAACTAGCAAATAGTGTGCGCACAAGGAAAACGACTAAGGAACAGAGAACGCAGAGATCACACGAGCACACGTGCCTAGCCCGTAGTCTAACTCCCGTTGCTGCAGTTATCTCCGCATGGTGCGGTGAGCGTGGAACGAACACGCGACGTAGTTCAGTCTAGCCGACTTAGCACATACCGATCGTGTTCGTAGACCGACAGCCGTGCAATCACTAGCGTGCGCGTAGGCGACGCCGAGGTGATGGACACCCTGGAGGGACGGCTGGAGGATGTGAGGAGACGCCATGAGGCCCAGGAGTATGGGGCGATACCCTGGGCAGTCGTCGAAGCCGGACCCCGCTCCGTGTGGGCGGCGGAGCACCCCACTTCTCGACCTGCCTCTCCTCGACCGGTGAACAACGACGGCGGCGTCGACGTGGGTGTCAACGCCGGTGGAGGTCAGGTCGGCAGCAGTGTGGGAGGCACGTCGAGGCAACGAGGTGTGATACACGCCGGTGAAGCCGGCGGCGTTCAGGCGCGAGGGATGCAGTCGTCGGCGGCTGCAAGCTCCTCGCATGGCGACGCTGGTGGGCGTCAAAGTGGATTGTCGCCGATGTCAGCGTCCCAGGTGACGGCAGGTGGGATTGCGCTGAGCTACGGCTACTTCAAGTTTACGCCGGACAGGATCTCAGTCACCCCCCCACTAGTCGGTCGACCCGACATTCTCACCTGGAAGGAAGCTATCGAGCCCCAGCTGGAGATGGCCGGGCTGATCGGCTTCGCCCGAGGGACCGTGGCGACGCCGGGGGAGCACCACCCTGACCTGCGTGCGGAGTTTCGCGCCGTGCAGCTGTTGACCTTCACGGTCATCTCGCGGTGCTGCTCGCCGGGCGTGCAGATCGCCTTGAAGTGGTGCCGGGAGTACCTCGACGCCGGCCACCGGGCGTGGCACTTCATTGAGTCGACGTACCAGGTCACCGACGACCTGTTCATCGCCCAGCTGGAGGGACAACTGACACACCTGCGTATGGGCGACGAGGAGAGTGCGACCGACTACTGCAACCGAGCCAGGCGAATTCTCGCCACCATCAGGATGGCCGGCGCGCAGTACTCCACGGCGTCGTACATCACCCATGTCATGCAGGGACTGTCTAGCAGCTATAACCTCCTGAAGCGGCTGTCTATGGCGCCGAGCACGAGGGCGACGCTCAACGAGGACAACCTGACCTCATATATCCTGCAGGACGAGGCGATGCAAGAGGCTGAGCGGTCGCAGGAGCTCTTGGCGCAGGCGAACTTGGTCACCTCAGCAAAGCAAGGAGGCCGACCGGGACAGCGCGGGCAGTCTGGCAATGGTGGTAGCAGTGGCTGGAAGCTGGCCAAGGAGGTCGACAAGAGGAAGTCGACCAAGGACAGCGGTCGTGGAGGAGGAGGTTGACGTCGGGAATGCTGGCTGTGCGGCGATCCCGACCATCTCTCCTTCGAGTGTCCGAACCGCAGCGACTCTGACGACGACGATGCTAAGGGAGGCCGTGGGAGGTCTGGCAGCTGTCGTCCTCGTCGTGGAGGAAACCAGCCGCGCAAGGA